CACTGATAGGATTTCCCAATGTCAGCCACCTCAGCTATCTGTTGATGGTACATCCCATGCAAGGGCTTGTCTTGCATGATATTTCCTCCACTTGAACTTCCTCCCATGTCTGCCGCTGCCACATGCATTTTCTCAGCAGCTCATCTTTGGGTGCCATTTTAGTGATGTACTCCTGGATGCTCTGGGTTTCATCCAGGACAGTGGCTTTGACACTATGTATATTGCAGTTGTGTGTCACTTTTTTTTTTCCAAGTATAGTAGCTACCGTGAATTGCACAGTGCTTGGCACATGAATTACATTATACTGGACATTTATTTAGTTCAGCAGTGAGTTTCCACAGGGACTCACTAGTTGACAGGACATCCTCTTGTTTCTCCAACTAATGTAACTGCAGCAACATATACTGTAGCAATCATACCAGTAGCCATTCATAAGTTTATCCTCTGTGAATTTAATTAACCTCCTTACCCACATAGATGGGCATAAATTGTCTGCTTTGATGGCCATCATTCCATTTTATGGTGGCAAATTCTGCAGGTTACCAAGTTGCCTCTGCTTAGTGACAAGCCATTTTCTTTCAACCTCACATTCTCTCAACCTGCCAAATGAGGGATTTTGAATGCTATTACATAGAGAGAAAACCACATACTGGAAGCAACTCTGGTGAAAATCTAAAAACTGCTGGTTGCAAGGAGCTGTTTTGTTTCTTTCCACCACTAGAAATGTGTGTGTGTGTGTGTGTGTGTGGTGGGCTTTTTGCTTGTCTCCCACTCCTGTTTTCTATTAGAAATAAAATTTTAGTATTGAATGTTGATTCCTTACTACATTCCCTGCCTTGCAGACGTTCAAGATTAAAAACAAAAACAACCAAACCAAACCAACCAGCCAACAGTGTGTGGTAAGAATGGCATATCGGATCAACAGGCAAGATTTACTCTTCATATAGAAGGCAGTTGAGATCCCAAACAGGCTGCAGGATAATATGACCCAATAACACTGACTTGATTTAGAAGATTAAATTATGCATAACTTGATGATGTATCTGAAAGTTTTCAAGCACTTGAAAACAATATAAAAATATTAAACTCTTATAACAATCATGTCATAAAGGTTAGGTTTAGTTTATTAAACAGGGTTATGACTTTGGATTTTCCTGGACTGAGTCTAATACAAAACACTACATAAACTGGCTTTTTAAAAATGGCTGCAAGGACACCCACGTTTCAACGAAGTAATATTATATTGACATACATATCAACTTTTCACTGAAAACTGATTCTGTTTCCCCCATAACCATTCTGTCTGTATAGTCTTTATTTTTTTTTTATTGCTTCCAAAAGCTTGCATATATACCTGCTAAATGTTCTGGAATATGTTATATCTTCAAGGGTTTTTTTTTTATGCCATGATTTTATTACTACAAAAATATATAATAGTATTTTTGCTGACTCCTCCACTCTGTCTCCATTTTCAAACTAGTATGGCAATACAAGGATTGTCTGACCTCCTTTGCAGACAGATCTGAAGCTGCTTTGTCTTTTTCCGTATGATAGTAGATTGATTGGGGGGGGGGGAGAGTTCATAATTCTGAAAACTTATCTGTGAAGAAGAATAAAACAAAGCTCTGTCCTTCCATTTTCTAGCATGAAAAAACATAAATACCTAACAGCTTGTACTGTATAACTATTTGGAAATTACAAGGCTGAATCAAGATGTTCAGGAAAGTTAGATCATCCTGAGTCTTCCAAACAGATGCAGAATTTTTCAGGTTCATTACAATCAAAGTCATTATGGCATCTTTAATGTTTTTAACTTTAATGGAATGAAACTTTCCGCAAGGCAAAATTATTATGAAGGAATTAAGCACATCAATTTTTCATAGAAATCATTGTAGGGGGGTTTTAGTTACAGTACAGTACATTGTCTTCTGACTTGCAGCTGTTTGCCAATACAATTTGAAGATGGGGCAGGATGTGAAACTTCAAAACTGGCTCATAGACTAACATATACAAATATATCTGTTGGGCCAAAATAATGTGGGGAGGATGAGGAATATTGTTTGCAAGAACAAACGGCAAGAAAAAGGCATATACAATATATTATTATCAATTATTTACACAGAATAATTATGAAACCATTTTCACAGTTTAAAATAGTGAAAAAAGGAGGAAGGAAAGGTATGTAGAAAAAAAAACAGGAATTGAAAACCGGATGAAAAAAAATGAGCACATAGTGAACACTGGAAGATTAAAAAAAAAAAAAAATAGCGGTGAATAAGGGATAAAACAGCCACATGCACAAATAGCATCCAGGATCTAGGATGAGAATGGTATGTGATTGTAGCAGCAGTGTTTACAAATCAATCGTTTCTTTCTTTGCCTCCCACAATATAGTTTTCTTCCTAAAGGACTCCAATTGGGGAGACTAATTTCAAGAGTCACTGATTTGAGGACAGACCTGTTAGTATCTGAATCCAATAATCCCCCTTCTGTTGAAGTGTTATGTTAAGAAGCAAAGTGTAGAACTGTATTTTTTCCTATTCTTCGGAAAGCTCATTCCAACTGAATGAGGTAGAAATCCATGGAGGACTGGAAACAGGGTGAGTCAGATACTTCCATCCTCATTTTATTAGAAACTACTGTATTCCAAATTGCCCCATTTTGCATCATGTTCAAAGCTTGTATCAAGTTGGAACATATCCCCACAAAACAGCTTACAAGCTGCAGGTTTTATGACAAGTACAATTCAATTACAACTAACATCTGTGGGAAAAACTGCAAAAAGAAGTTGAAGAAGGAATGTATGTTAAATGTCCATCCATGATTAAACTGCTTACACAAGATTATTCATTTGAACAGTTATGTTGTGCTAGCTCTCACTTGCAGTCACATACACTTGGATAGACAGAATTAACAGAATATTCTAATCCTGTGTGGGTTGCTGCCACAAGAAGTTAATGAAAACTTGACCATCAACATTGATGAACGTTCTATTACTTGTTTCCCTTTTTGAAAAGTGTTGTTTAACATGCTTATATAATTCTGCTAGTTTTGTTTAACAAAACTTCCCATGCTTGTATTTGCAGCCAAAATATACAACAGGTAAATAGAAATGCATTTTAAACATGAAATATCTATTCAGGTCATCAAGAATAATACTGTAGCTCTACTTGCAAACACTCATTTTTTTAGGATTTCCAGATGTTGCTTTGCAAGCATCTGTATATTGGCCAGTAAATATATATGCATGCTAAGGGGATATATAAATATATCTTTAATTTCAGCAAAATCTTGACATTAAGAGAAGATAGAATTATGGAATTCAGATCAGGCAACCTTGTATGTAAATTGGGTGGAAAGATTCTTTATCTTTTCATTGCTGTGCATTTCAGCAGAAAAAAGATTATAACAAATCTACAATCCTAAATATCTTATGTTTGAATGAATATTCTTTTTTCCCTTAAAGCTTCTAATGTGCATAAATAAGTTACTTTACGATACCAAAATGCACAAACACCAATTTTACATTTCTTTATTTGCATGTCACTTTACAATATCTCATCACATGTACTGTTTTCTTACATAAACGTTTGATATGGACAATATTCTTACACCACATATACAAACCTAGAGACAATACCATGTTCATTATGTTATGTTAATATATACATTTAATGAAAGTGCACCATATATTTATGGGACTTATTTCACTCCAGTTTGAATAAAATAATGTGAAGACAGTTATAACTTATCTGAATCTTCCTCAGGGAACTGGAAATGGTTGAACAGGTAATTAACCTAAACTTTAGGATTTATGATTTCTCAGAGAATTAAATACATCAGAAGCTACAGGATTTATACAGTATATACTGCTTGTATTCCACTGAAATATTTAGTGTTCGAAAGAAATTTTATTCATTAGGTTATGAGGTGTTTATCTCAAACTTCTCAGATATTCTTGCCTGGTGGTGTTTGTGGAAATATGCTGGCAGGATAAATGAAGTTTCTTCTTGTGTAAATATTACCTAGCTTTTAGGGTTGGTGGGAATAAATTCTGCAATTTTTCTTGTTCACCGATTTCTAACATGAATGGCTTGGAGATGCATTAAAATGTTTCCAAATAGTTTTGAAACAGAACATGCCAACTAGACATAGCACTAAGAAACTTGATCTAAAATAAGGGGAACTTAGCAAGGCACTGGTATTATGGTCTTGACAAAAACAGCAAAATAATAACTCATAACCATTCAGTACTGAATCTTTCTTTTTTGTAATTACATATCAACACTGACTGTAAAGCAAAACTGAAATAACTTTTTGTACAAGGTATTTTTAAGTTCTGTAACTTCAGAATTCAATCCACATATATCTGCTACCAATATTAATTTTTTGAAAATTGATTATTGAATACCCCATTTTGAGCTTGATAAAAAGAATTCTCTTGCATTGTTCACTGATAACTAACAAATAGCTTGGTTTCAAAAGATGTGAAGCCATAACTAGTCAGCAGCGTAGTTAAGTTGATTGAATTGGATGATGCAGATGAGTCAATATCAGTGACATACTTTAACAAAAAGGAACATGAATTTACTTAATTCAAAATATATTTGAAACTGTTAGGACTTTTTAAAAAGTCTATATTGTGAAGCAATACAATACAGGAAAGTGGACATGGTTTAATTTGTTTTTAAATGTTTACCAAGAATGTGTGATTCCTAATGCTCTAGGTAGAATACATAAATTAATATCTTAATTTTGTAGCAGTATAAAAAAGAAAAAAATAGGCACATTTTAAAAGACTTACTATGGTTATATTGTTTGACATACCTAAATCTATGAGCTCCATATCTTACTCTCAGTGAGGTTGCTTTATTTTCTCCTCTTTCTCTCTCTCTTTTTCCAAATAAACAAAACAACAATTTTTCACGTAGTAATGTATCACACAAAAACACAATATAACTTGAATCAAGTGTCAGTGCATCACACGGCTACTTATTTCTAATACAAAATGGGATCTAATCAGAAAAATGCACCCAAATGAGATTAGAACAAACTGAAAATATAGCATTCAGTTTTTGAACTGTGAAAGCACATCATTCCTTGTAATGCGCTCCAGCCTTTACTGTGAGAACAAACTGTTTCTGAAATCCAATTCTGTAATACAAATGGTTCATAATTCATTCTTTCTTCCATGATTATAATCTCTTTGGATAAACATTTTATAATATGAATGATTTGCAGTTATAAATAAATAAATGCTCATTTGAATTTCTTAATATGAACACACCTTTATATAGGAAAAAAAACCCCAATAAGTTATGGATGTCATTATCATCAAATATTTCTTGACCTCTGAAATAATGGAGCCAGTTGCAAGCCTTTAGATCTGGATATCCATGTTCTGAAGCACGATTGCCACTCTGCTTGGAATGTATACCTAAAGGGAGAATAACAATTTTTTATTGTCTATTCATTAATAAGCCTTTGGGATATGGGAGGCATAAATTTAAAGTGAATACATGAAATATCAAATGAAAAACCAAACACTTATTAAATATGTCATGGATGCAGAATGCAATTCTGGATTTGGGCATTCAGTCCTAAGACTGAGAAGGTAATTGAAATGATAAACTTTGCATCCTTGTCACCTCCCAAATGCTGGATTGGGTAATACGTTTAAATGCAATTGCCACTAGAGGGCACCATGTGATTTATACCAATCAGTTCTGAATGTTTGAAGACAGCCAAGCCAATATATTCCGTACTAGTAAATGACTCTTACTGTTCCATTTGATCCCTATTGTATCATGAACTGAAATTTTATTTTGTCTGAGATGTTATTCAATGGAAGTAAATACAACGTAAGATATAGTAAAGCATTTAGGAATCTGCAAGTCATAGGGCTGAAATGGGTCTCACTGAAATATATATTGAACTGAAAAAAATATATGTTCATTTTCCTTTCAACATTATGATTAATATATTTCTTTTATACTTTCACAGAGAAACTCTGAATTTAAACTCATTTTTGGATGAATGAAAATCTGAAACAGTGGGTTTTATAATTTTCCTTTCACAACTCAGAATATGACAGATTTTTTTTTTAACCAATTACTTTGATATGTGTACTTTACAGATTTGTAGAGTGCAATTGATCCTGCAAGCTGACCTCAATAACAATGCAATTAGGAAAGCATCAGCTGATAACTGAAGATTGCTGGCTAACGTTTTGGCAATGCCTTTAAGAGTCTCTTCCACTTGGCATTCCTAGTATAATGCTATTTCCAGACATGCTATCTCTGAAAGAGCCTCACTCATAGCATAACAAGGTTTTATAGTCAGCAACCGGAATGAAAGATGTAAAGCAAACTGCTTTAGGAAAAACAAACAAACAAAAAACCAATCTTCATTGAATCAGACTGTAACATGTCCAATAGATCATAGCTATTTGCCAGCGATCAGAGTGTTTTTATCTAAGGTTTCTGTGATAAATAAGTCCTCCAAATCTGTTCAGCAGGGAAGGACATACACCTAGAATCATGTGCTCAAAAATTTACAGAAAAATGAAAAGAAAAAAAATCAACGGAATGGTTAATAGTACTTTGTTATTTTATGGAAATAAAGGATTTATTTCCAAATCTTTTATACAAACAAAATCATACTTTTGCTGATAATCCAAACAGTTCAGTGGAGAAAATTCCATTTTCAATATTAATGGGTAATGAGTAAGAGATTGTTATAAATTAAAGACAATTTGTTGTTAATTAAAATTCTCACTTACAAAATGATATTGTCAAGGCTGATGGGGATTTTTAATTTAGCAATAACTAGATATAATTCTGTAATCCCAATTTCTGTAATCCCAACTATTATTGTCTCTGCCTTCTGGATATGTGGATTCCACACACAGTTAGAATATGACATTTCATATGGAGATGAACATACATATTAAACTGTCCAATACTAACTAACTAACTAACTAACTATACACATATATATATATATATATACTCCAAAGTATCAATACTGTATACACAAATAGGTATTTTAATGTGTTTTTGTTAATATTGTAATTGCAGTATATTAATTTTCCTGCCATTATCAACTCCTAGCACTATTTCATT